GGCCACCAGCCAATGTGGGTCTGAGCTCCCAGGCCCTAGGCCGACCTTGGCAGAGACGGCCCTGTGGGCAGAGGCCAGAGCAGCAAGCGCCCGGCAGGATCAGCTACATGCCCATGCCCAGCAAAGCCAAGGCCCTGCAGCCGGGGGTGGGGGTTCATCCTAGGGGTGTGATGAAGCATGTTAGCTCACAATCCCAAGCCGCAGGAGGATGTGTGTACCCATCACAACCACTGTGGCCAGGTGCTCTCTGTCTGTCCCCATCCCAGGGCCCGCGGCTGGGTCCTAAGGGCTCTGGAACGCACCCGGAGCCTGGGCAGGGAGCTTTCCGAGCATGCCTAGCCAGCAGGAGGGGCAGCAGTAGCCTCTGGACATGGTGGCTTGCTGGGCCATACCTGGAGAGGAGATGGGGTGGCGGCTTTCTCATCAGCTGCCGCCAGTGACCTTGCTAAGCAGGATTCCTGCAGCCAGCCCAGCTCTCCCCTCTCTGGCCCTGTGGATTAGCAAGGGGCTGTGGGGCGGGGCAGGGGACAGCTTGGATTAGCAAGGGGCTGCAGGGCAGGGGAGAGCTCATCCGCGTGCTGATGTAATAGACAACTGATCACTGTCGCCACTAATTGATCACTGTCACCTGGGGTTTCTGAGCCCTGGGGCCAGCACACTGCAAAGAGATGGGGGTGAGGGGCACGTTTCCTACAGCCTAGGAAGCAAGTTAGAACACAGGCTGTGCCACACTGGAGCACGGCGTACGAGTGTGCTACAGGACGTGGTGCAAATTCCCCCTAAGCCTGTGACAGTGCCGGACTCAGCAGGGGTGTGTGTGTGTCTCCTTCCTGACCCCAGCTGACAAGCAGCTTGTGCCCTGAAGCATGAGGATGGCTAGCAAAGGTTTGCTGCTGGGGTTAGTAAAGTGTTGCCTCTGAGCAAGGCTTCAAATCAGAGGTCTCTCCTCCCCCCGGCCCTTTGTGACACGAATCCCATGGGCTGGGCTGAGTCTGCGGCAGGGGGTTTTCCATACCACAGACCCATGGCCTGTTGCTGCTGCGACGCCTGGAGGACACAGACTGGGAAGGGGGGCACGGGCAAAGCAGGGTGGGAAGATTTAGTAAAGTGTTGCCTCTGAGCAAGGCTTCAAATCAGAGGTCTCTCCTCCCCCCGGCCCTTTGTGACACGAATCCCATGGGCTGGGCTGAGTCTGCGGCAGGGGGTTTTCCATACCACAGACCCATGGCCTGTTGCTGCTGCGACGCCTGGAGGACACAGACTGGGAAGGGGGGCACGGGCAAAGCAGGGTGGGAAGATCACAACCGGGATGGCGGGGGGCCGGCGGGGCTGGGTGGGGAGC